GAACTGCAGGATGGTAAGTAAGAACCTTGTAGCCTTCTTTTTACTGCCCATAATGAGTTGTGTTAGATGACAATGTCTGAATTTTTTTCCTTTGTAGTGGATCCTGAAGCAGTTTACTCAAGATTACCTCTCAAATTACATGATTGGCGGTCGGCCATCACAAGGGGTTGGACTAGAGTCGTGTGTGCCTTCTGCATCCAGGAGAGTACAATAGAGCCATTCCGCTTTACCTTGTTCAGGAACCAGAATGTATGTCGCCTCTTTCTTTACCATCTGTAATAGTACAAGTATAGAACCCTGGTTCATTATTCTTTATTTGATGCTTATGTAATTCTTAAACATATGTAGGTGTGAATTGAATAATGCATTGGTTGTTTGAACCTGATGGATATGAATAAAGCTATAGCCTACTTTCAAGTTTAAATTAGGCATAATTTTAAATAGCAGCAATTAAATTAGAGCAAAATTACGGTGTGTAGGTCATTACGGCGCACACGATTAATAAAGCACAGCATATGTGATATACATCATAATCCGACATGGTTCACGAAGTGGAAACGTGTGTAACAATGCACACATTTGTTGTTTGCAAAGCGTGTGTGATGTCAGACAATATCACATACAGTTCGGGAATACTAAATGTGTGTGAATGTCTACCTATCATACACGGTTTATAATCATGAACTGTTTGTGATGTGCCAGGATCGTAAACATACAACTAGTTTGGTACGTGCCTAGAAAACTCTCGTGCCTGGAATCTGCCTGGTTTTAGGTAAAACCACAAAACTCCGACTGCGATGGCAATGCGAGCACAAATGAGTAGCAAGGATGAAGCGTTTCGGATATTCGAGACATCGGAAATGATTATATAGGGGCAACTGTATGCATCAAGGCTCCCTATCCCCGACGGTTTCTGGGTCATGTGGGAAGGACCCCCCTATCACCCACACTCATTTGGCGATGGTTCCAAATGCCATCACGGAAAGGGGTTAAAAACCATGCGTATAGCACCGACGCGTACGAGTGGTTGTGTACTGTATAAACATCGAAGGTCTCGTCGAGCTTAATACTGAAGTGTCGACCTCCTTCCAGATGACGCCTGTCGCACAGACCCCGGTCTTCACCGTACTACCCGCACTCTTGGATCCTATCGTCATCCTCGGACATTTTCTATGTTCATAATTCAAAGATTAAAGTTCTGAAATTCAATATATGTACTACAAAAACTAAATTAGATCATTATTATTCATCAAGGGTTGACTATCGGTCTGTCGGGTCTTTTCTTGAAAACTCTCAGCTCATGTGGTGTATATATTCGACCGTCGATGATGGTCGCTCCTCCCTTCGTCCCCGAATACATTACACCAAAATGTCTAGCACACGAGAACGAAGGAGAAGCGATCCCCACGTCTACAGTTGGGATTCTTCTTCCTCTCTGACATTTCCGACCGACGGTGATGGAAGCTCCTATGTTCATTTCAATGTGCATTACACCAAAATGTCTAGCACCTTCAAATGAAGAATAAGCTCCCCTCATGATAATAGTCAGGATTCTTCATCTCTCATATATGGTGGACACTCTCCCTCACTATTTTTTTGACTCTCATGTATGGAGCTCTAACAAACTTAAAGTCAACCCAAAATGTCATTTAATTCTGTTTCCGGCAAATCCAAGGCACTCGATATTTCCTATATTCTAGCACAAGCCATGCTAAAATTGATGGAAAAATCTGGCATGACCTTTGCTAAAATAGGACATATCGAGCGCCTGAAATTTGCCTGAACGGAAATGAATCAACACTCCGGCAAAACATAGGCCACTTGGAGGTGTTCCCTGCAAATATAGGCCACTTGGGCAAGCACATTTCCTTCATTTTCCAAATATTCATGTGTGACAGCACTAGTAGCACACAACACTACATATGACATGCCTAAATATTCACCATATTTGAGCAACACTAGTACACAACACTAGATATACATGTTTATTACTCACTATAGAAGATGGTTGTCAAGGATGCGGGTGTCGTCGATGATCTTCTGGGCGTCGTCGACTGGCTCGTTGGTGATATACCCTGCGCCACATATGAGCATAAACACATGAGCATTTGTATAGAAAATTTCAAACTTGGTATCATTTCATTTTTTGCAAAACCATTTCATATCATTAGGTCTCTCTCTCTCTCTCTCTCTCTCTCTCTCTCTCTCTCTCTCTCAATTTAGTAGGCATGAACTACATCCAAACCTATGAACAAAATTAGTAAACTTTTGAAACTTTCTATACCTAACTTTTTTTATAACGAAACTACTAACATTTTCTATAACAACTACTAACATATCGTTGGTCATGTACCCTGTGCCACATTTATATTATATTCAAAATACCTACATTTACTAAAAAAATCTACTCTATTCAAAGGCCTACATTGAAAATATTTATTTCAAAAGACCTACATTTACTAATTTTCTATAATTTTTCATATAGAATTCCAATACATTTCTATAATTTGTCATATAGCATTCCAATACATTTCTATAATTTGTCATATAGCATTCCAATACATTTCTATAATTGAAAATGTTCTATACCTAAAAATTTCTATTACTGATTTCTACATTCTACAACAAAATACTACCTACGTATTCTATTAAAAAACATCCATTCTACCTATATTTTGTATTTTATTCTATTCAAAATACATACATTCTATTCATATAAGTTATATGTTCTATTTTATTCAAAAAACAAACATTCTACAATCAAATTACAATTGATTTTTATTACTAAAAATTTGTATACCTAATTTTTTTACTCAAAACTTCTATACAGAGAGAGGTGGGAGGAGGGAGGGTGAGGAGGAGGGAGAAGTGAGGGGCAGTGGGAAGTGGGAGGAGAGAGGAGAGAGGAGGGCAGTCGGAGAAGGGAGGAGGGCGACCGGGGGTGGAGGGATGAGTGAGGAGGTAATTGTGGGAGGAGAGAGGAGAGGGCGGCCAGAGGAG